AGTGATGCTCTGTCTTCTTGGTGCTTGGGGGGGGAGTCAACAGTTGAAGGGCTTCTAATGTCCTGGCCACTGGTGGACCTCCTGATGGCACCTGGTATTTCTGGCCACTATGTTGGACTGGATGGGCCTTTGACCTGATCCAACATTGGTGTCTCTTATGTTCTTAAACAGTTTTCACACAGTGGACAACACTGAAGGGTGAACAGAAAGGTCATTGAGACTGAGGTCCTCCCTCTTGCTGTCTCATAATAATATAAGAGAAACCAATGTTCGATCAGGCCAATGGCCCATCTAGTCCAACACTCTGTCTCACAGTGGCAAAAAATACCAGGTGCCATCAGGAGGTCCACCAGTGGGGCCAGGACACTGTTATTCAGAGGTTTGCTGCCTCTGGTCATCTCCTCCATGAATCTTTTCCCTTTGAGAACTATTTGTGGTCATGGCCATTACTACCCCTCCTGGTAGGGAGCTCCACAGACAGAGTTTTCCCCCAACAGAAAACCGCTCGGTTATTGGATCGGAGAGTGGCTCTAACCCACTGTAAACCGATTTTCATTTGCTCACTATGGTTACATGGGTTGGATCCAACCATCTTCTTCATGAGACCTGCATTCCATGTGGAATGGAGGCTGTAGTAGGGAGTGAACTGGGCAAGGTTTAGTAAAAAAAAAAAAAGCTGGCTGGATCGAAATCCATACTTGGACACTCAGGTTTGCAGATACAAACTCATTTTTTCAGCTCAGTTGAAATTCAGATAAACTTTTGCAGAGCAATTTCTGACAAAGAACAACACAATCTTAATAATAACAAGACTTTGCATAAATGCTGCTGTAATCTTTGTAATACCATAAACTGAGCCAAGATTGTCATCATTATATGCCAGAAGGGTGCATGGTCCGTGGTTGAGAGAGAGAGAGGAAGAGAGAAAGCAACCAAAGGCTTTCTACCAAGTTCACGGCAGAGATATGAGCCAGAAAGTTTGTGGTTCGCAGCTCCATCACTCCTTTCCGGAAGCTTGAGAGAAATCTGTTCTCGTTATTAAAGGACTAAGAGAGGGAAAACAAACCAATAATGCATGGCAACACATCTTGCTAAAACACAAACACACACAAAGAAAGAAAGGCAGGTGAACTGATACTGCGATCCAGCTCAGTGAGGTTGCCCCAGATCGGACTTACCTGGTTCTCTGAGGAGAAGAGGTCAGAAAGTGACAGGAAGAGGAGAGAAGCTGATGGAGTAGCAAGGAGTTGGAAGCTCTTTTATACCTCTCTGCCGGCAGTATTGTGGGAGTATGCATCACCCCTCCCATGTACCCTGATTAGTAATTGGGGGGGATATGCTGATGAATCATGTCTCAAATTGCTCCTGACTTTGTTTACCTCCTTTCCTTTTTGCATCCATTAGGCTATCTTCAGCCCATTGTGTCATCCCGTTACACCCTATAGTTTGAGGACGGACATTATTGCATCACCAAAAAAGAAAAAAAGTGAACCACTGATATTCCAATGCCCTGGATCGTGCTGGGTTTTCAACCTGAATCATTGCCATTTCTTGCATTCCCTGAGAAATGCTGATCGCCTCTTTGGGGTCAGGAAGCAATTTTTCCCCAGGCCAGTTTAGCTGGGGATCCTGGAGGTTTTTTGTCATCTTCTTGGCATAGAACAGGGGTCACTGGGGGTGTGGAGGGGGAGGTATTTGTGAATCCCCTGCATTGTGCAGGGGATTGGACTAGATGACCCTGGAGGTCCTTTCCAAGTCTATGATTCTATTATTCTAGAACTGGCACCACTGGTGGACCTCCTGATTGTGCCTGTCATTTTTGGCCACTGTGTGACAAGAGTGTTGCACTGGATGGGTCATTGGCCTGATCCAACACTGGCTTCTCTTATGTTCTTAACTTTCTTGCTCACAGAGTCAGTGTTAGAAAGGTCAGCTAAACTCCAAGTATTTAATCAATAGATCTAATTCTCAATAGCGGCCCATCTCTGGATACTTAAATACGAAGACTGAGGCCATGAACTGACAAAGAGGGACCTGTGTACAAATCCAGGTTTGCAGAAAAAAGAAATCTGAAATCTAAAATAAATTAATAAATTGGGGTCTAACCTCCTTCCCAATATAATCGAAACCGTGTCTTCTACACCGTGCCTTCTATCTCTAAGAAACAAGTTTCCATATCGTTGAGAATCTGATAGTGTTCTGGTGGCTAGGGATTCACAGCAGTATTGTCAGTCTTCAAGCTTTGGGGGCAACAGGGGGAGGGCTTCTGGCCCCACTGGTGGGCCTCCTGATGGCCCCTGAGTTTTGGCCACTGTGTGACACAGAGTGTAAGATTGGATGGGCCATTGGCCTGATCCAACATGGCTTCTCTTATGTTCTTAAGAGCAGAGATCCATGAGTGGCTATTAGCCACAAGGTAGAGATGGAACATTCTTTCTGAGGCAGTGATGCTCTGTCCTCTTGGTGTTTTGGGGGGGCAACAGTGGTAGGACTTCTGGATGGGAGCTGTACACTCTCACTTTATGTTTTTTAGAAGATGCCATGTAAAGGCAAGCTTCTCTCCTGGCCAGCACGGTAGACTGAGAAGAAGGCTATTTAGAACCTTGCCACTCATTCAGACTGACCGTTTTCATGCAAAGCTTTCCCTCTCTCCCTCCTTTTCACATGGCAGTGTGGGATTATGTGCTTGCTTCATGACTGAGCAAGAGCTGAGCAAGAGATCGGGAAAAGAGCCCCCTCTCCTCATCACAAGAGCTCTATGAGCATTACCCCTCTGTCTGTTCTGTCTAGTCATGGAAAGCGTGTCCATGAGCACAATGGAAGTAAGATTGGGGACATGGCTTTCTCAACACTGCTGATGATTACAGTGAGGAAGTGTCCATGTGCATACTGCCCCCATACCTTGGAACTATGTCGATAAAGTGATGCTCATGCAGAGGCAAGACACAAGGTCAGCATGCACATGCTCATTCTCCCTCTCCGTGCGTTCCATCAACTTGTGGAGGTGTCATGTGGTCAGGGCCACTGAAGGTGCAGGTGGAAGTAGTTTGAATAACCCTGGTCCTGGAAGAGACTGATTAGACCTTAATTAAAGGCTAGAAGGATTAACACATGCTTGGTCATTGAGGCTAGATAGATTAGCAAGTTATCTGTGGATGGGGAGAAACAACCAAACCAGTCAATGTGTCCCTACTGGATCCCGGGCCTGGGATGGGAAGTCTTGTGGTGTTGGAGAGCCATGCCCGAACCCGCATGTTGTCCAGCACTGAGAGATAGTGTTGATGGTTGGCATCTCTTGACACATTTTGGTGTGCAGTCTATAACTGTGGGGATGCTACTTGAGTGATCCGAGCTTAGAGCAGGTCTGTCCAAGTTTGGTGAGCCCATTGGGTCATATGTTAGCAAATCAATTTATGAGGTCAGCTGCGTTGTTCCACAGGTCAGCTGATACAAACATTTAATTAATGCTATTTGTAAAACAATATTTCATGTCCTTTGGGGCATGTGTCAAATTCACCACAAAGTAACAGAGCATGAGGTCCGAATTAGGGCACGTGGGTTTGATACAGGCAAAGGGAGGAGCAAAAAGGAAACGAGGAATGTAGTGTTGAAGCAGCCGAAATAAGATGTTCTGTAGAAACCTTACTAGGAATACCAAAATGATACTATTTCCTTCTTGTAGAAAAAAATAAATCCTAGTCACAAAGAACAAAGATATCATTCCAGATGGACAAAGGAATCTTCACTACATTCAATTGACCACTGGCCACTGTGTGATACAGAGTGTTGGACTGGATGGGCCTTTGGCCTGATCCAACATTGGCATCTCTTATGTTCTTATGACTTGTGGAGCTCTCTTTTGTTGTTGTTCAATCACACAGTCGTGTCTAACTCTTCGCAACCCCAATGGACCACATCACGCCAGGCCCTCCTGTCTTCCGTTGTGCTCCGGAGTTTGCTCAATTTCATGTTCATTGCATCAATAACACTGTCTAACCATCTCATCCTTTGCTGTCCCCTTCTTCTTTGACCTTCAATCTTTCCCAGCATCAGGGTCTTCTCCAGTGAGTGTTCCCTTCTCATTGGGTGGCCAAAGTATTTGAGAGCTTCAGCTTCAGTATCTGGCCTTCCAGGGAGCAGTCAGGGTTGATTTCTTTTAGGATTGACTGATTTGATCTCCTTGCAGTCCAGGGGACTCTCAAGAGTCTCTCTATTGTGGGCTAAATTGGTAGTTTATGAGGCTCATGGGAGCCGAATATTGATTTTCCCCTAAAAACTGCCACTAGTTTTGCTATATTTAATAGGGGATTAAACAAGTTCATGACGAATAGGTTTATCATCCATAGTGTCTCACTAGAACCTTCATATTGAGAATCAGTATAGCTCTGGAGCAGACCAATGATGAAGAAGACTATGCCCTCTGTGTCCCTATTAGCTATCTTCTGCATTCAATGAACTCTTGGTCTAACTGAGTAGGGTTATCCTAATATTCTTATGTCTCTGTGTATTACATTTGCTGATTGAGACGGTGGTGCATTTAAAATGAGCTACAGGAGTTCTGGCACATAGGACCGCCTTGCCCATGTCCCCATTTCCCCAGACACTGGATTGTGGCAGTTCCACTGACGGGGGACAATTCTCAAAGCTTCTGGCAGGTGTTCAGAACCAGCCTCGTTTCCTTCCTTTGTCCTGCCACTGAAACTTGGCAGACTCTTCCGCCATATACAAATGCTCCCCATCGTAATTACCGATATTTGGCGAGTATTGAGTAACACCAAACAGAGAGGGTTGATCATCCATTGCGGAATATCATTGTGGAAACCAGGGTGGACGCTTGGTTGTTTACAGGAGGGATTTGATACATGATGATTCATCACCATATCCCCCTCCCCCAAAGTACTAATTAGGACAAGATAGATAGGAGCGTGGTGCATACTCCCACAGTACTGCCAATGGAATAGTATAAAAGAGATTTTGACTCCTTGCTGCTCCAACAGCATCTCTCCTCTGCCTGTCGCTTTCTGATCTCTTCTTGACAGAGAACCAGGTACGTTTGATCTGAAGCAATCTCATTGAACTGGATCGCAGTATCTGTTCGCCTGCCTTAGTGTTTTACCAAGAGAAGTGCCATGCATTTATGTTTTCTTAATCTTTTAATCCTTGCACTATGAGAACAGATTTCTCTAAAGCGTCTGGAATAGAGTGCTGGAGCGATGAACCACAACCTTTCTGGTTCACATCCCTCCTTTGCCGTGAACTTAGCAGAAAGCCTTAGGTTGGTCCCTCACTCTCTCTAAACCACAGATCTCCCTCCCATCTGACGTACGATGATAATAACCTTGGCATAGTTTGTGGTATCGCAAACATTACAGCGGCATGTGTGTGTGAAGTCTTGTTATTACTAAGATCTTGTCATTCTTTGTTGGATTACTTTAGCTAGGTTCATTTGAAACACAACTGAGCAGAAAAATAAGTTTGCGTGTACAAACCTGTGTGCTTGGATTCAACCAGAGTTTGATCCAACCAGCTTTTTTACTACGCCTTGCCCAATTCACTCCCAACTGCATTCTACATGGAATGCAGGTCTTATGATTCTCAGCATAGCCTTTTTAAGTGGACATGAGGATGCCACCTTCCTTTTTCGCTAGGAGCAAAGTCAGATGGATCCAACCCATGGAACATGGGAATAGAAATTTAAACATATGTATATATGTTTATGATGTTTCAGATCCAGTCTGAGCAGTTTTTGTTTAGCGGGTGAGCCAGTGTGGTGTAGTGGTTATGAGTGTGGACTCTAATCTGGAAGAACTGGGTTTGATTCCCCACTTCACCACAAGCGGATGCTGGTGTGATGCTGGGCCAGTCATAAGTTCTTTCAGAGCTGTTCTCTCAAGGGCAGTTCTCAAAAGAGCTTTCTCAGCCCCACCTGTCTCACAGGGTATCTGTTGTGGGGAGGGGAAGGGAAAGGAGATTATAAACTGCTCTGAGACTCCTTCGGGTAGTGAAGGGTGGGGTATAAATCCAATCTCTTCTCTTCTTCTATTTTTTTATTTTATTGGATTTGTATACCAACCTCCCTGCATAGTCGGCTCAGGGCAAGTTCCATCATAAAAACTATACAGTTAAAAACAATTAAAATACATCAATTAAAATACCATTACTCATATTTTTAGCCAGCACCTCAACAATGGAGGTCTAATACAATTTGGGTTCCAGATGATGAAACAGATCTGATCCACCGGAGGGGAGGCCCGATAGATAGATAAAAAGGAGGACACCCACTGTGTGAGACAGGATGCCGGATTAGATGGACCATTGGTCTGATCCAGCTGGGCTCTTCTTATGTTCTTATGATCTCACTCAAAGAACTAATACATTTGTCTTATTTATTTATTATTAGTATCACTGACAGTATAATCATAGAGTTAATCCAGTTTAAGCCCTTTAAGTCAATGGGTTTAGATGAGACTAAGTCTGCATAGGACAAGACTGTTAGTTGTTGATTCTATGCAATTTATATAGGGAACAATGTTCCCTCTAAGCTATGGTGTCCTGTGAGCAAAGATTCTACTTTGTGAGCTACTGGAATTAAAGTTGTGAGTGAGCGATTTGCCTACTGCATAAATTAGTTTGCCCTGGAGCCATCCTTCCTGAGCTAAGACAAAAATCTCTGAGCCAGAGGCTAAAAACCTGTGAGCTAGCTCACACTAACTCAGCTTAGAGGGAACTCTGATAGGGAAATTAAATAAAGATATTCAATCTTAAGAAGCAATGTATCACTCAGTGTCAACTGGAGGATGAATCAGCTCGGTTACTTTGAGGGTCAGGATCCTTGATGACCTTGAGCATTGGTCTGATACAACAGGGTTGTTTTTTACATTCTTTGGAAAATCACCAGAAATCTTTGTTAGTGTTTTCAGCACACTTTTTTACTTCCTTCAGCATTTTGAAAAAAGTTTTGACTACAGAACAACCTCCAAATTTAGAAAATATTTCCCTGCAGGAAAAATCAGGTAATAATTTAGAAACATACCAAATATCGTTGTCGAAGGCTTTCACGGCCAGAGTTTATTAGCTGTTGTAGATTGTCCGGGTTGTATGGCCGTGGTCTTGGCATTGTAGGAATGCCAAGACCGCGGCCATACAACCCGGAAACTTTACAACAGCTAATACCAAAAATTCTTTGAAAAAAGATTTGCTCTTTCTATGAATTGCACTTTCCCTAAGAGACCCTTCAGTTCCCTATGGATTCACAGAAAGAATGCCTTAGGGAATTCTCAAGAAAAATATTCAATCTCAGATTCGTATCTAGAAGTTTCAATATCGGTTTTACTTCAATTTGTCCTTCCCTCGTTCTCACATGCAGGGGTATGGGTATTTAAGGAGGGACATCAAAGTATTTGCTTTAGGCATGTCACCTAAAATTGATCAGAAATACTAAATATTTATTTGTTCTAAAATGATAAGTTTCTCAAAATGAATATATGAAGCTGCTGAATTAGCCTGGTACCATGAACTCAACTTAGGAGCACCTCTCCAGGATCTCAGACTTTCCAAAACTTTGCTACCTTGGGTACTTTCACTGGAGATGACAGGGACCTGGACTGGAGCGTCTGCCTTGCAACTGTCCTGAGTCCTTTTAGGGAGACAGGCAGGCTAAGCATTTGTTAAACAAACAAGCAGTCCTGTTGTTGTTGTTGTTCAGTCGCACAGTCGAGTCTGACTCTTTGCAACCCCATGGACCAGATCACGCCAGGCCCTCCTGTCTTCCGCCGTCCTCTGAAGTTGGTTCAATTTCATGTTTGTTGCATCCATGACACTGTCTAACCATCTCATCCTTTGTTGTCCCAGTCTTCTTTGACCTACAATCTTTCCCAGCATCAGGGTCTTCTCCAGGGAGTGCTCCCTTCTCATTTGGTGGCCAAAGTATTTGAGCTTCAGTTTCATTATCTGGCCTTCCAGGGAACAGTAAGGGTTGATTTCTTTTAGGATTGATTGATTTGATCTTCTTGCAGTCCAAGCGACTCTCAAGCAGTCCTGTGCTATTGTGCTACTGAGACACAGGGGCCGTGTTCAGACTGGTAGTTTGGCCCGGCGGGCAAATGTTTGAGGAGCGTTTCAGTAGCGGATTAAAGGGGCGGGTTCACACAGCCACATGTTTCAGGCGACCCCCAGCTATACTCAAGCCATCTTGTGCTGCTTCCCTCCCGAGTTTAAAAGATACCATGTTAAAGTGGTAGCAAACTGTGTATACAGCGCATTGATTCTGGTTCCCTGAGTGTGAACGCAAGTGCTGCTAAGGCGGGAACAACCCGCAGTCATTGATAATAGGAACCGTCTGTGTCCATGGGCAGGCGCCATTGGCGCCTGCGTAATCCTGCCCTATTTGCCACTGTGCCCATGCACACATGCGCATGGGCGCATGCAACCCAGTGCGGAAACAGCCGCTAACAGGCTGCCAGGGCAGCCCAACAGTGTGAACACTCCCTTGCACTTCCTCCACGGTATCCTCCCGCTTCATTTGCTGCAGTGTGAACGGGAATACCGCAAACAAGCCGTTCCAGGTCTGTTCCGGGGTTTCTTTGCCACAACTCCCTAGCGCTTCAAATTGTCAGTCTGAACTCGGCCAGAGCTTAGCTCACATTTCAGGGTCGGATCTGCAAAAATAAGTATTTTACCTCATTTCTCTGGGGATTGCATTGCACCTTGTTCACTTACTTATATCAATATGTTCTTTTTCTTCAGCTTTTAGCCTACCACGTCAAGATGTCTTACTGTGATACTGTCTGCAATGTCCCCGCTGGTCTTGGATCGTGCTACGGAGGCCGACTGTGGCCATCCTATGGCCTTGGCTCCCTCTGCGGAACAGGTCTTGGAACCCTGTCTGGTGGCTGGTCTGGTCTTGGAACCCTGTCCGGTGCCAACGTCGCCTGCACTGATCAGCTTGCAGGGTCTGAAGTGGTGGTCCAGCCGCCTCCCTCTGTGGTGACCATGCCAGGACCCATTCTGTCTGCGACGTCTCAGCCTGTTGCAGTGGCTCAAACATCTTTTTCGGGACTGGGCTCCCAAGGGCTTGCCCCTCAGTATTCTAGTGGCGCTTTGGGGGGATATGGAAGGTCAGGTTTATATGGTGGTAGTTTGTATGGAGGTGGTTTGTATGGTGGTGGGTTATATGGTGGTGGGTTATATGGTGGTGGGTTATATGGTGGTCTGAGAAGATACGGCCAGAGGTGTCTGCCCTACAGTGGCTGGGGTTATGGTGCCTGTGTGCCTTGCGCGCCTTGTGGTCCTTGTTAAATCCTGGCCATTGTCTACATGGATATGAAAAACCTGGAAATGAAAGCCAGATGATGACCTTGGACTCCGAGTGGACATTACATGCTGAGTGTTGGAAATTCAGAGCATGTACCATCTCCTGTTTTAACGAATGGGATCTGATGGGTGCTCAGTATCTCTGAAATCATGCCATGATTATGTTTTTTTTCTTCTTCTGTTACTCTCTTCTTCTTGCTGTTTTGTACAATATTTCTTACAATGTTTCCCATGGATGTGACCATCTTCTCCTAAACATTGCTTATGACGCTGCTGTGAAACGCATTGATTGAGTGGGGAAAGTCTCTCTGTCCTGTTTCTTATTGATAGATGGTATTTTGTCTGGGTCCCTGCCTTTCCTTTTCTCACAATAAAGTGTGACGCTGCTTCATCACTCCTGCCTGATCTTTTTTCCTCCCCTCAGTGTTAAGAATTCTCCTTGGTCTTTATTATCAATGTAGAGGTAAGACATTTTCTTTAAGTTTACCCTGTTGTGGAGTGACATGGAAATACCCGGTGGGGAAGCCCGATTATTCAGGTGGGGGGGGCAGAGGGTGAGTGTACAATGACCTGGGGTGCAGTTGAAAGGGGACAGAACAATGTTAGATTGAGGGGTTGAAAGAAGAAGAGATTGGATTTATTCCCCACCCTTCACCACCCAAAGGTGTCTCAGAGCAGCTTACAAACTCCTTCCCCTTCCCCTCCCCACAACAGACACTCTGTGAGGTACGTGGGGCTGAGAGAGCTCTTGACAGAAACTGATCTTTTTCAAGAACAGCTCTTATCAGAACTATGGTTTGCTCAAGGTCATCCAGCCAAGTGCAAGTGGAGGAGTGGGGAATCAAACACGGTTCTCCCAGATTAGAGTCCGCGCACTTAACCACTACACCAAACTGGCTTGAGAGAAGGTTTAGTTTCCAAAGCTAAGAATGTTCCCTGCTTCCTCGCCTCATAGCAAGCTATAGAAAATGGGGGGGGGGGCACCCTCTTGATCCAATCCCTTTGAATTTTGAGGATTATTTCAAGGACAGGCCACACAGATGTAGCAAGGAGGGATGTAGTAAAATGAGAGAGAGAAGAGAAGAGATTCGATTTATACTCTGCCTTTCACTCGGAGTCCCAGAGCAGCTTACAATCTCATTCCCTTCCCCTCCCCACAACAGACATCCTGTGAGGTAGGTGGGGCTGACAGAGCTTTGATAGAACTGCTTTTAAGATAACAGCTCTGAGGGAATTGTGACTGACCCAACGTCACCCAGCAGCCGCACTTGGAGGAGTGGGGAATCAAACCTGGTTCCCCAGAGTAGAGTCCACTGTTCTTAACCACCACACCAAACAAATGACAGGATTGTCCTTTACGAACAATGTGAGCAAAATGTCAGCCACTGGGACTCAAATCAGTGCTCTGGGACTGGAATGACAGTCCCCAGAGTGCAATGAGAACCTCTGAGAGTAGCTAAAGTACTCTGGGTCTGGGATGACAGCCCCTAGAGTGGAATGATAGCCTCTGAAACCAAATAAATTGCTCTGAACTGAAATGACACCCTAAGAACATAAGAGACGCCAATGTTGGATCAGGCCAAAGGCCCATCCAGTCCAACACTCTGTTACACAGGGGCCAAAAATACCAGGTGCCATCAGAAGGTCCACCAGTGGGGCCAGGACATAAGAAGCCCTCCCACTGTTGACCCCCCCAAGCACCAAGAAGACAGAGCATCACTTGCCCCAGAGTCCCTAATAGCCACTGATGGACCTCTGCTCCATATGATTATCTAATTCCCTCAGGTGGAATGACGGTTCCTCATAGTAGCATAAGTGTTCTGGGAGTGGAATGACAGGCCCCATGGCAGCATGCTCCAGCAAGCCATGGTCCAATGCCTCCCATGTAAACAGAACCAACAAGTCCAACAGAACCAATGTCAATCCAAAGAACCCCAGCAGAACCAAGGACCAATGTGTCAGCACAAGCCAAACAGGACCAATGGCAATACACAGAGGCCCAGAAAAACCAGAAACAGCCAGGCAGACCTGTAAGACACTGACACACACACATAAACATGGACACTAACATTAGTTCTCCCTAATATGCAATCCCATTTCCCTGTTACATCTTCC